CTTGGTACAGTTACATTGGAACCTCGCTGGTTGTCATGTACTAACATTCGGTTGGTACCACAGCGTACTGGTCAAGCAAACGCTCTGTCTGAGCCTTGAACTTTCCAATTGTTATGAGCAATATTTTGCACGCCATTTCGTCAGGCTTACGTGGAATAGGGGCATCATTCCTCAACCTCTTGTAACCTACGGCGCCTTTTAAGCATGCCATGAATCCGTTGCACCACAAAACCGACAGTACAAAACTGCGTCGATATGATGGTGCAAACAGCAACCTTGCCGAAACAGTAACCGCCATTCAAAATGGCATGGTAAATCTCTAAAAGCAATGGGTCGGTGGGATTAAAGCGATAAACGTCTGGAAAGGTGACATATATTTTATCCTGCGGTTAGTATCTGAATGATCATATTTGGTTGATCTAACGTTGAAGATGATCGTCCAGTTTAGCATTATGAAGGCTATATTTCCACTTCTATCCACACATCTTGATAGCATATGGACAGAAATCCCATTTTCTGATGTGGCGTGGAACGGTGATAAGAGGTAGACGTAGAACTCCAAAAGTACTGGTTCAATCTCTTAAGAAAATTCTCTTAACCACGGTTTCCCTTGGGTGAGGAATTCACCTCGTTGCATCGGTGCAACCAGCCTTGGATAGTGTATCTCTGATCTGTGAATAAAATGGGCAGTGCTTAGTGTTCTGGTGTATCTGTTCCAGAATGAGCTAAAGGTCAGCCAGGCTGTCAGATGCAAATGCCCTTTTGGATTGCGATCTTTTGTTAACTATCAGATAGCTGACTATCCGCTGTGATAATCAGCATAAGGTGTGAATTCTATTGCTGTTGACCAGGTATGAACGCAATCCGTTCTGATAATCACTTGAAAGCTATGTATCCGTTTAGGATGTGTTCATTTATAAGAAAAACGTAGCTGACGCTTTAACTATAAACTAAGACGAAATACCTTCTGTGGGTAACATAAACAAGGTGAAATCCTTCGATCCCCCTATCGAGAAGACACCTAGTGACTATTTCTTCCCAGAAAACGAAATGATATCCAGAAACGGACAGAAATGAGGATAATTCACACCGGTAGCAATAATTAAGTAATTCTCTGTCCAGAACTCTGACCATGTGATGCAAGACCTTGTCGCACCATTCCAGGTAATGTGAACAACATTCACTTCTTTCCGTTGACGGATGTTATCCGTGCAGTGGTACCTGAAGCTTTCCTTAAATCGAATGTCAGTGACAAGATTAATAACGATTTGTTCATGGTAAATAGGACATTCAAAATAGATGTCATTATAGTTTCTTTAATTAAGATTATAACCGGCAGTAGTTCATAGTGCTTTCGCTTGCAGACTGGGACTAATTATGTACAATTTACGCCACCCTTTCTGTTAGATAAGTAAACGATAGCAACTACTGTTATGTACAAAAAACTCCTTACCTCTAGTCGCTACGGCGACTCCCTTGAATCCGCCCGTCTCGACGACGCTTTGATCGGTAACAAAACGAATCAGCATCGCATTGCCGCTACTCTGAAAGTTTCTTCGAGGAAAAAATTTCCCGCACAACTTGCCGAAACTTCTGTTAGCTAAACTGTCGCCATCAAAGATTTCGACATAGTCGTAGTTGCAGGACGAGTGAAATTCGAGAGAAATGTCAGTGAACCTAAACCACGCGTGCATAGCTTTCAAACCGTTTGACAGACATTGCTTCAAGACTTTGAATATATTACAACGATGTAGCCAACGATAATGGAAATGAATATAAAAAATTAGCACTAGGCAATGCACGTCACTCAATGAGGTCAAATTTTCGCTTCGTTTGGTTGTGTGTCCTGAGCACTACCAAAGATGTAAAGGTGGCAAGTGAAGTCCGAATCACGATTAGACTTTCCTTCAGATGATGCCAATCTGGCGTCCAATGAGTTTGAATGAATTTTCCGTCTTTCCCTGGCCCTCTTTATCCTCACCCATTGAAACATACATACTCTTCATGCAACTTCTGGTGGTCTGTAAAAGCATTTCAAAGGGAAGACCAACATTGCTGTCGCTGAAGAAATTTGCACCTTTGATTGGTCCCAGTTGATGCATTGCTCTGCTTCATTTAGGAAGTTAGAAATGTTGTCTGTAAGGAAGAGAAAAAAACTACTACGTTTCTATCATGTCACGAGGACGATGACGACTGTCTGGAGATAAAAGGATTACCAGATTTTGTCCCCCCACGAGAATCGACAGAAAAACCGATGATTCTGGATTTTTTGGCACATTCAATTTTAGCAGGCAATGTACGTCATCAACGCTTCCAGAATCGAACATGTTGGGAATAGATGCCACAGAAATTTTGTACAATCACGTCTACCCGCTTCAGAGACTACCGTGACTGATTGATCGCATTGGTCCTCTTAATCATTTATGGTCGCTCTTTACATAACAGTAACAGTAATTGAGTGAAAGATGCCCACGCTCATCTCCAGAGGCTTCCATCCCTCTTTCAGTTAATGCTTCCATTTGCGCCTTGCTGCCCGATCGGTACTAATCTGCCACTGCTGAATCCTATCCGCGTTTTTCCGTCAGTCGTGAGGTGTGGTCCGACAAGACACGAGCTGCACTGCGGACAATTTTTGTGCCTACGTTCCACGTATGTTAGTCTTGGCAAACAGTTGTGGCTACTGTCGACACTTGTCAGGCATCTTGGAGAGAAGCAGATGTTTGCTCTCAACCCGGCCGAATGATGACGGCTCGACGTGGCTAGGTCCGTCCGGAGTGACCCTCGTTGAACTTGGGTAGATCCGGTTGTCTCGCACCATGTAGCGGTGTTCTTAACTCATAACAGCAACAAAATGAATTTGATCCTCAGAATCGAGCAGCTTTTAAACGCATTACTTCATTCACACTTCAACTCAGGGCTGGTACTCAGTGGGGCCGTTGCCTTATGCAGCCTATTTCTGTGCCGTGTGTGTAAAAATTAAATAATTTAATCCGTTATCGGACTTGCTTCCGGTATAAGGGCGCCGTGAACGTAAGTCGATGCATTTCCAACGTCTGCTTCTTTCACACCTACGGCGTCTTGTTTGCCTGATGTATTTGGCAAAACGTTTCGAGTTTGGCGCCATAAACAGGATTGTTCCTCCAGCTCGAAGGTGTTCTCGTTTATACCGTCTTTGTCTGGATATTTGTCACTTCTGATGTTTATGATTGCCCATTTTACTTCGTCCCCGGTGACTTCGGCAACGGCTTCTTGAGCCACGTCTACCAACCACTGGTTCAAGCGTACGTTGAAAGAGTAAAGGTTGTCGCAGAATTTTGCCCAGATGGCGTTCATACGAACGCGATCAGTCGTTCCTGCTCCTCTATCGCTCTGAAGCCGTGATCTTAGGCGAATATTTCATTCCAGAGGTTGCGGAATTTTCATACGCTGCGCGGCCTATCCTGATAGATTTCTCCTTAATTTTCGAGGACTTCCCTCAACTCCTT